AGCGGCTGAATTTCGAGGATCAACTTTGCGCTTATTAAAAGATACAAGACGCTGAGGTAGAGGCCTTGAAGCAGCAAGCAAAGGAGCAAGCTGCTCTAGATGCTCAGCTACTTACTAAGAACTAAGGTAGTTTCTATCCTTAGTATATAGTAGCTCATAACTATAATCAATTGGTTAGAGCTTCCCTCATTATTCTGGTAATCCCTTTTTGATTGGTATATATAGTCGGCATATATGGTCGGCAGCTGCAATAAACATAGAATATATTCCTATCAAATTCTACGCTCTAGGAATCAGGTAGTAGGTATATATCCCTTATTAATATTTCTTTCTACTATTTTGTAGGTATTCAACTCGTATTATGTAATACCCATTGCAATACCCATTGGGTATACCCACTGGGTTTTTACCGTTGGGTTGTACCCCGCTTATAAGCTGGGTACCCAGCTTATTTGTAGGGTTGGGTATTTAAGTTGGGTTGTACCCAACCTATACCCAACCCAACCTATGACGAGGCCTAGGTTTAAGCTTGTATAAAGTTTACCTGCCGACTATATTTGCCGACTATAGTACTTAAGTTTCAAAATATTATAAGCTGTAATCTAGCGTATATATTCTTCTATATTTATTCATTCGATCTAACTACTCTCTTTCTCCTCTTATCTATATCGGGCTTATATACAGTTTCTTTTCTAATACCTAGTTCAAATAACTTGCTTTTAGGGCACTCGGTTTCTAGGCTTTTTCTTTCTGTTTACGAAAAATCAATACCCAATAGGTACGCAATACCTACTAGGTATCGTAATACCTACTAGGTTTGTACCCAACCCGATAGGTTGGGTTTACCTAGCTAAATACCTATACCTATTAGGTATTGCCAATACCTAACCTACCCTATATACCTACTAGGGTAGGTTGTACCTATAATAAGGCCTACTCTTGTTCTTCTTAACTAGTTCCTCGAGACTAGAAATCGAGAGGTAGAGTTCGTCTTCTTAGAGGAGGAGGAGCAGGATAGCTTCGAGAGTAATACTAGTATACTCTTTTACGCTATAATAGATAAGGCTATTTATTACTACTAGCTATATTGTCTGTTCCTTCGTAAGAGAGTTCTCTTTCTCGCACATCTTGTACGCTATCTTCGCGAGATACTTATTCTCCTTTATTGTCTTTAAAGGCAAAAAGCCGTTAGCTATATAGTCGTAGGTAGGGGGAATAAGCTAAGAAGGGCCTAGTAATCGCCCTCTATAGTAGGCTTGAGCTTTAGTATCCTATAATAGGACATTCCGGCAAACGGCTCGCTTAATAGGCGAGAAGATCTTATATAGTAATAGTATTCGGACTTCTTTAATACAAATCTAGAATTGTAATTAGTTTCTATAGTCGGCAAATATAGTCGGCAGATATTTACCTTTATTGTCTCGCTGCTAACGATTTTCAAGACCTCTTTTATACCTTTCTTATTTAGTATATCTAGGTTCTTAAGGATAATAATCTTGTTCTAGAAGTAGTAAATAGAAGAGCGCTATTAATTATAGGCAGTCGAAAAAGTAGAAGAGGATGCCTAAATAGCAAAGGTACTAATAGACTTAGCCCTCGCTTCCTCTATCTATAGAGTCGAGAATAGATTAAGAACTGATTCCGAAGGAAGGCAATAATTGCTAAGGCCGCTAACCCCTTTATCGCACTCCTCGCTAACAGATAGATACTCCTATTCCTACTTAATCTAGTCTTCTTTCTAGAATATCAATCGTTCCTTAGAGTCGATATCGCCGAGTTCGAGAAACTAGTCGGCTTTATTAATCTTTGCCTACTCGTCGGGAGGAAGTATTATACTCTTTCTAGTCTACTTCTTTAAACTAAATCAGAAGTTAGTATTCAAATCTACCGACTATATCCGCCGACTATATCTACCTACTATACTTACGCTTTTTGATTATACTCCTTTATATATATCTTTCTCTAGCCCTCGATAAGTTCCTATTACTTATCTTTAGTAAGGCTCTTAAAGCTCGTATACTCCTTAATTTGTGCCTTTTTGAATCGCGCAAAGGATTCGTTACGCGCTTTACGGTATCAATCCTATACCCTCTTTTCTTCGTCTATTACGGCAGTACGCTCTTTGTTCCGTAGAGTATTTAGCTTAAGAGAGTATTCCTCGAGTAACTTCGAGGCTACGCCGAGCTTTGCGCGCTTGTTTACTAGTGCCTCTAGGGTATTGCTCTTGCGTTTCGGTATAGTAATAGTTTCTAATATTAGTATAGTAGTTAAAGAAGAACTCGGTCTAATTACGAAGGTAGGTATCGATAGCGCTAGTAAAGGTACGGAGGTACGGGTATTATAGAGGTATTATAGTAAGGTAGTAAAGTAAGAGAGAGAAAGTAAATTTACCCTACTAGGGCAATTTAAGGTTTAGGCAGCAGCCGAATCCCGGTATTAGTTACGCCGGGCAACGATACTACCTATCCTTCCGGACTAATAATACTCTACCGCACTACTGTACCGCCGACGTTATTCTAGATAATAAGTATAAGAACTATACGTAAGTTGCCCCCCCCCCCCTAGGCGTTATTAATTTCGAATATAAGTTGTTGTCCGTTCGTTCGCTACTACTAGGACAACTGCTAGTAGGGGTTATATATATATAGTATATAGATATCTATGTTAAACG